TATCATTGCATAGGATGAGGTTTTCTATCATCTCTCCATAGATGCTGAAGTCCCGTTCAGATGTTAACACTGTTTTATCAGTTTTAGGACTGTGCCCTCCCAGATGTTGTTTCGAGTGATTCTAGCTCTGAAATAATGTCTTGGAGCGCAAAAGTGATGACAGGGTTGAGACAGCAGTAAAGCAATGTTTGAGAGAACTGAACACTAATTAAATTGTCTCAGACTTTGAAGGAACTATGAAAAAAAGGAATTGGCAGGTCTTCTTCTTCTTCTATGGCTCTCTGGTCCGTATTCGGTCCATGGCCTCCTTAATTCTCCTCTTCCATTATTGGCAGGTCATAGTCATATATTTATCCATGTCGAAGATTTGATTATTCAGTATTTGTGCCGCATAAAATTACTTTGTGATAACCCCTTCATAGCATTATTCCTCCTATTTTCTTAGAATTGTGACCACCTAATTTTGTATAGTTTTTGTCATGAGTTGTACTATTGATTTAATTTTATACGCAGTAGTGGTAAAGTAGGTCGATTTTTCTCGTCATTCTTTATTCAACAGCAGGACATTAAAGGCTGAATAAAAAAATAAGTATTTGTTCTAACTGTTGCAGTTGCGAGGGATTTTAGATTTGTGTATGAAGTGTCTGAGAAATAAAAGTACAAGGAAACAGGAAGGAGAATGTTTTTTGTTAGTCACTCTTTTTTCATTTATTTCAGCTGAAAAATATATCTTCTGTTAAAAGTATTTAATTTGCTGAAATTTGGTTTAGGAGACTATGGTTTTTACAGTTGTACTAGATTGAAGTAGCTTGGGATAGGACCCATTTTCAATAAAACAGTCCATTCATATTTAAATTGTGTTAATAAGGTGGTAAATGTACAGTTGAGTATTTTTAACTAATCATCTGAAAATGGAGGAATTTTAACATTCTAGATAAAAACTGTGTTCTAGGAGTTCTTAAATTATTCATCTTGATGTAAGTAAATTTATATTAGATCTGTCTTGCTCTCACTTAGTGGAATGTAGATCTCCAACATTGGAGTGCTTGTTACTATGGAAAGGTCACGGTAGAGCAGTTTTCAGTTTGAAACGAGAAAGTGGGGGAAGATCAGTAATCTCATTAAGAGCATGTGCGCCCTGTCTGAAGTGTAGGGGAATGAGGTAGACTGCTCACTCTGGTGGCAGTATCAGGATATGGAAATGAAGCAGCCATGAACCTGAAAGATTTAGACAGGATTGGAGCTTTGTCTCTCAAACCATGAACCCTTTACCACTGCAGGCATACAGCACTATAAAACAATTAATTGTTATATATATTTTGCTTTTTGAAGAAATAATATTGACTGTCGGTATCAGGCAACTGGGAGACAAGGATAATATTCAGACCTAAGAGACAGAAAGTAACATGGTTTGCCTAACTCTTAAATGATAGGATATAGTACCTTGAAATAGGCCGTGACATTCTTCCAGTTCTTTATTTATTTGTCATTTTGATTATGTTTCTGTCTTATATGAGATTTTTTTTGTTCTTAAATATCCTAAAATCTGTTAAGTTCTCCATTTGTCATGTTCCTGTCTTATATGAGACTTTTTTTGTTCTTAAATAGCCTAAAATCTGTTAAGTTCTCCATTTGTATGTATCATGTCCATATTAACTAAATCCACTGATTGCAAACACCCTGTTGGTCTATATCACACCATGTTTTTACATTTAACTTTCATAAGATTGGTTAAAACAGACCATTTTTAAGAAAATTACTAGATAATATAAAATATATCTCATTACAACCTATAACTTACATTTGAAACATTTTTGATGTGGTGGAGCTTTCATGTTCTGTTTCCTATATATCTTCTTACCATAATAAGCTGTTATATTAGTCCGTATTATGAAAACATCAGATATGCACAAAGATGCACTGCTATAATGATGATGATAAATCAGCCTGTATATTGTCTGAATGTTCTGAGCATGATGTCACTGATCACATGTGTCATGTTCAACCAGCCTTCATACCAATTATAGTTATAAACGCATGGCCAGATTTTCACAGACAGGTCTTGTTTTGTTGTTATGTGTGTTTTGCAACTTTTATTTTGCAGTGCGACGAGTACCACCACAGTTCTCCATCCCCCCACCGCCAGTACATGAAGTGATGCTGGGTGCTGACCTTAATCTTACATGTGTTGCTGTTGGTTCCCCGATGCCCTATGTGAAGTGGCGTAAAGGACTGGCTACTGATATTACACCAGATGACAAGCTTCCAATTGGTCGGAATGTGCTAGAATTGACCAATATCCAGGAGTCGGCCAATTACACTTGTGTAGCTGCTAGTGCACTTGGAGTCATTGAGTCTATGACTCAAGTCAAAGTGCAGTGTAAGTAATTCATTCTCTGAGGACTGTCATACAAACTGTTATAAACACCTTTTGTTGGAATATCAAGTGTGTTTAGTTTGCCGGCCAATTCGGCTTATGCTCTGGTTAGCATTTCGGTAGATCTGTGACTACTCATTGTAGGTTTTACTCATTCTTTTATGTCTAATTCTTTGAACTTGTAAAATATACCAAAGGCAAGTCGTTTTGATACTTGTTATTTCAAATATATTAATTTGTTTTATGTTTTTCCTTCTCAGCACTGCCTGGTCCTCCAATAAATGTGCGAGTATCAGAGATCACTGCGACATCTGTTCGTCTGACTTGGTCATATACAGGGGCAGAAGAACTGCAATACTATGTAATTCAGTACAAACCCAAGTATGCAAATCAGCCTTATAGTGAGATATCAGGCATCATCACCATGTATTATACAGTCCTTTCCCTCAACCCCTACACAGAGTACGAAATGTTCGTCATTGCCGTGAACAACATTGGTAGAGGACCTCCAAGCACACCTGTGATAGTTACCACAGGAGAAACAGGTGAGCTAATATTATTATTTAAATTGTTGGAGATGGGATGTATTAATACATTGTACATTGTGGTAAACCCTCAATTTAACAGACTAATAGAGTGAAAGGGGTGTCTAGTAATGCTGTTTGTCCGCTAAATTGCACAGGTCTTTTTATGTTGTCAATAATGCATTTTTAGACCATAATTTCCTTTAGGAACACCATTAAACAAATTAGTAATATTAACTGGTCACATACAATGACACAGAGTTAAATAAAAACACTAGATTTTAAAGAGAAATTTAAGTGCAAAAAAATGCAGTGGTCTTCAGTGGACATTTTTTATTTTAGTAGACAAAATTCATTAAAACAAAAAATGTATGCTAATGCCTCACGTTCAGAAAAAATATGGCTGTACCAGACAGTGTCTGCTAAATCCAAAATCTGTTGAATCAAGGGTTTACTGTATATTTGTTTTATTAAATGCTGTTTACAGATTCTAAAAAAATGCAAAATTATGAACATTGAAAAAGGCAGTGATGATTGAAACTGACAATAAAATAATTTAAGGATATATTTGGTAGAATAGAACTTCATTTTTGTTGATTCTGAAGTGTTTTTGCGTCTGTTTCTGTTTTTATCGGTGCTACTGTTATAGCTATCCCGTCCTTATTTAACATTACAGGTAATTTTAAATGAAAACAGAATGATTGAAGCAATCTCTGATATTTATTATTTAGGCAATTTTAACAGTATAAAACATAATTATACTTTTTAGATTTGCAAAATTAAAACTGATGTAAAGAAAACTGACAAACTGTTCAGTTGCAAATCTGTTGGTGTTGGTGATAGATTATGGTTGAATGATTTTCTGATTATTTAAGTATTAGGATGTCAACACTTGTGCATTATTTTAAAAATAATGTCTTCAAATTTAAGTGAAGTGACAGGTACTGTATTAATTCAAGGTTCAGATTACATTCCTAATAAGAGGTCCTCCCATAATGTTATTGGTTTTAATACAGACATGTTTAATATTTTTTTAGAAAATATTGTTTTTCATGAAAGATTTTTGAAATGTGGTTTTTGAAAGAAGACATTTTTTGACTTTCATGCAAAAACTTGGAATTAATGAATTGATGTAAGTTTTTTGTCAACCTGTTTTTTACATGTGTAGTTTGTGTTAGAGGAGATGGATAATTTTTTATAGTTATTTGTTGTTAGTTTTTGAATCATTTTCATCATCACAGGATTGTTGAAATTTCTTCTTGCACTGTTTTTGTGTAGTGACAACAACACTGCCTCTTGTATTCTTTTCTTACATCTCCAATGGTTTATTTTTTAAGTTCTTTCTGTAGAGTGATGCACCAAATACACTTTATATTTCTCACTAGCACCACCATTTGTAATGTCTTCTTCTGAAATTACAAGAACAAGGTTTCCCAGTCTTAATCATTATTTCAGAACAAAAATTCTTCATGCAATTTTAAAAGACATATTTTGAACAAGAAGACAATGTAAAGTAACGATTCATAGTGGATCTTGACACATTTGCTCAATCTTTACTATGGCTAGGTGTATGTTTATGCTTGTTACCTTTACCAGCCATATTATCCAATATTTTAATGTTTACTTATTCTTTTCATAGTTTTTGCATTAAATGGTATTATAATGCAAGGGTATAAAGGCATAATTCAACTATCAGTCTACAGCGACTGGAACAGGATGTGATCAGAATTTGAATAGTAGTTACTTCATTCAATAATGATGTCATTTTGATGCAATAAAATAGAATTTTGTACAGAATTTGTACATATGATGTGATTTAATGAATTTTCTTTATTATATTCAAATAAAAATTCTTTGAACGTTGAGGCACATAAAACCATGCACACTGTAGTTGGAGAAGGTAAAAGTCAGTTTATTTAACAGATCTTTTGAACGCAGTGGTTATGCGTTATCAGGCAGTAGGATATTGAATGAAGCAGTCCTGGGTAAAGGTTAAGAAATACAAAGGAGCAGCCTGGATGAGTTTGGAAAGCAGTATGGAAATTTGGCTACTTTATCCTCAGTTACTCCACATTGTAACAGGACCTCTGAATCAAAATTCACACATATATATAGGATTTTGGTCAAATTACAAGCAGTATGGCTGATTATCTGGTTTTCATTATGAAAATTGTTACTTAGAATTTCAGCATTGTCATACATGAGTAGAGAGGCATGAAGTTTTGGACATGGAACAGTAAACATTCCTTCTGACAAAAATAATTGTAAACTATTTTCAGTTAACTGGTACCAAAGGTTTCTTTTCTCTGAGATTAAGAATCCAGATCATGAAGCTGTCCACTCATCTCCATCAAATAGTGAGGTAGACAAGCTTTACATTCACTCTGCAATTCATCGTTATTGTTTGGTACTGAAACGTAGAAACAAATTCTGTAGACATGTTGGGAAACCCTGGTTGAAGGGTACTCAAGTAACACCCTGTTTGTTATTCAGAGGAATGGTTTGTCAGTGCACCTTATTCTTACTACAGCATCACATGTTTTGAAGAGCTTGCTACTTAAAGTGGGATTACTGTAATCTGTTTACCTGTTGGATTATCTTATTTAAACAGAAATCATAATTTAGTATGTGTGTATGTAGCTGAACATGAATGATTGCCATAGTTGTCTTGCTATTGAATTGGTGGTTTTATCTTCAGTTATAACTGTGCATTTGTCCATTACTTATATAAATTGGTTAATGCTGTTAAGGAAATAATTGCTGTTTAATCTGATAGTCATACAAAACCAATAAATATACTTTGTGGAGAAAAGGGAGAGTTCATGATTATTGTTAAAGCAGGTGGTACGTACAGTTACCACTGGGCTTTAAGAGGTTAAAATTAGGATAAAATTATATTAGAAAAAATATTTTTTGAGAATAATCATATCAACACATTTCTCCCAATCCTTGCATTTTATAAACAACACTGTCTTGTTCTGTACAATGTTTATTAAATTTTAGCTGGAATATTTTAGAATATTTTTCTTTTGCAGGTCAGCATGGTTGTGTCTTGTCATGACATAACTTTAGGAGGATTTCTTCCTGTAAATTGAAAGACTGTTTTTAAGGAAAACACCTATAGGAAATGTGGTTTATGTTTTTAATACGTGTTTTGTCTTTTCAGCTGACTCTTCATTCGGAGGTGCCAGTAAGTATATCATTTGCAGTTTTCTTATGATAAATCATTAGAATACCAGAATAATATTATGTTAAGCTTGGTCGTGGCAATTTCTGTAAAGCTTTCTTGTGTTGTTGTTATCCAGAATGTTTTTGATATTAGTTTGTGTGTGGGTTTTACATCTGTGTTAGCTATTGCATGTGTCCAGATCATGTAAAGAATTCAAGCACATAATAGATATGAGGATGGTTATAAAATATGAGTATCTATTTTATTAGTTGCATTAGTGAAGGATATTGGTTTCTGACTTTCAAGTAGAAATGACAGAGTATGTTTTATGTGACAGTTATTTATTTTTTGAACTCCAGAGTTCATAAAATGACAGTACAATGGGATCTGTGTATATCCTTCTGCATGTTGCAACTCCAAAACTGCTCAGTGGATTTTGATTAAATTTGATAGTGAGGGGTGTTACTTATGGAGCAACCTTGCATAAACATAATATTGTCTACATATATTTACATATTTTTCTATTAGACCTTATGCATTTTTTGACACAACCAAACCAGGCCATGCTGAACCATGTAGAAGGTTTTATTTAAATAAGTAATGTAGTCATGTCACCAATCTCAAAGATTTTAGCCAACTTTTGTTTTGTTTTGTTTTGTGTTGGTGCTGCATAACCTAAACTTGCATGAAGCTCAGATCAGACTTTATTTACTTTTTATGTAGTTCACTATGTAAAATATTGTTGGAGAGAGTGTTGATTCTGTTTATGAGGTAATATTGTGAAAAATATGAATCTTATAAAGATCTACAACATTTTTTTGAAGCTTTTGTTTTTCATATTGTGTATATTTAATGAAATACAAGGATGATTTTTTATTATCTATAGTATGATTAGCTTTGCAACAATGGATTATTATGAACAATAAGTGAAGATTACCTTGGTGCAAAAAACATTAGTACCATCTCTGTCATCTTCCTATTATAGTTCTGATTATCACTCTATCAGTATTGCTGTTATAATTGGCTTTATCAATCATTTATAGTATAAATTGTCTTTGTTCTTTTACTTTCAGAACCTGGCACAGCACCCAGGAATGTTCAGGTGCGGCCCCTTAGCTCCAGCACAATGGTAATTCAGTGGGATGAGCCTGAAACTCCTAATGGACATGTTACGGTGAGTTGTACATTAGACTATCTCTTTTCCTTCTTTCCTTCTTTCTTTATTTCTTCATTCCTTGTTTCCTTCTTCCTTGTAGTTATCACCTTACAGCTGTCATGAAAATGATGAGCCTGAGGTAATGTTTTGTACAAATTTTAGTTTAATTATTTTTATGACTTTCCTGGAAAGTTACTGAATGTGATTACACTGCCATAATTATGATGTATTGTAAGATGATATCTAAATTTAATTTTGTGGTTCAAAATTTTTTTCATCAAGTGCATTTTGTTTAAAAATTGAAAAATATAAATGCACATTAAATTATTAAGTTATATTTTCAGTTTTTATTTCTTTAAATTTGTGATTGTGTGTTCTGTATGCTTTATTCTTTTAAATTAGAATCGTGATACTCATGACAGTGCAATCAGTGAAGTGACTAGTTCAAAAGTTGTCGGCATGGGAGACAGAAACACAGATGTGATGAAGTTTGTGCTCTGTGTAATATTTGAAGATTTCTTGACAATAAGAATTTTTATTTTGGTGCTCTATGTTATGATGCCATCTTGTAGGTGATTAACACTGTTTGGAGAAATTTATGATCTCCATTGTCATTCTGCTTGAAGGTCTGAGAGTATTTTCTTTCTATGTTCAGGGTTATAAAGTCTACTATACTATGAATCCAACGCTGACAATGGCTTCATGGGAGTCGCAGATGGTGGACAATAATCAGTTGACGACAATCAGTGACCTTACACCTCATGTTATATATACAATTAGAGTTCAGGCCTTTACAAGTGTTGGACCAGGGCCTCTATCTGCACCTGTACTTGTCAAAACCCAGCAAGGAGGTAAGGTTTACACAAGTATGTTTTCATTAACAGTCGAATGTGCGGTAATATCCAACAAGAAGTCGGACATTGTGTATGGGATTCAGTGAATTTTTAAAATAAGGGTGTCCTTTTTTTTTTCGTATCCAGTACACACCATTCAGCATGGTGTGCATTGGTGGTTAGCAGGTTTCACGACCTATCAGTACATGGGTTCGATCGGGACTGCGACATTTAACGCTCCTGCTGTGACCCCTTTTTTGTGAAATATGAAAGTGGAGTAATTG